GGTAAAGGGACTGAATGGCCCTTAATAGAAATCCACCCACCCCATACTCCTGGAGCATCCCCCACAGGGTACCCCTGGGGACATGGTCATAAGCCTTCTCCAAATCCACAAAACACATGTGGATTGGTTGGGCAAACTCCCATGCCCCCTCCATCACCCTTGCAAGGGTATAGAGCTGGTCCACAGTTCCACGGCCAGGACGAAAACCACATTGTTCCTCCTCAATCTGAGATTCAACTATCGATCGGACCCTCCTCTCCAGTACCTTGGAGTAAACCTTTCCAGGGAGGCTGAGGAGTGTGATCCCCCTATAATTGGAACACACCCTCAGGTCACCCTTCTTAAAGATGGGGACCACCATCCCGGTCTGCCACTCCACAGGAACTGCCCCCGATGACCACGCAATGTTGCAGAGACGTGTCAACCATGACAGCCCTACAACATCCATAGCCTTGAGATACACAGGACGAATCTCATCCGCCCCCGGGGCTCCGCCGCTGTGTAGTTGTTTGACTACCTCAGCAACTTCTGCCCCCGAGATTGGACAGTCCATCCCCAGGCCTCCCAGCTCTGGTTCCTCCTCGGAATGCGCATAGGTGGGATTGAGGAGCTCCTCAAAGTATTCCTCCCACCATCCGACTATAGCCCCAGTTGATGTCAGCTGCTCCCCATCCCCACTGTAAACAGTGTGAGCGAGTTGCTGCCTTCCTCTCCTGAGGTGCCGAACAGTTTGCCAGAACCTCTTTGGAGCCGATCGATAGTCTTTCTCCTTGGCCTCACCAAACTCCTCCCAGGTCCGAGATTTTGCCTCGGCAACTGCCACTGCTGCACCCCGCTTTGCTATCCGGTACCTGTCTGCTGCCTCCGGAGACCCACAGACCAGCCACGCCCTGTAGGCCTCCTTCTTCAGCCTGACGACTCCCCGAACCTCTGGTGCCCACCAGCGGGTACAGGGGTTGCCACCACGACTGGTACCGGCCACCTTGCGACCACAGCTAGCAACAGCCGCCTCAACAATCGCAGAGTGGAACAAGGCCCACTCGGAGTCAATGTCCCCCACTGCTCTCGGGACGTGGTCAAAGCTCTGCCGGAGGTGGGAGTTGAAGACCGTCTTAACAGGTTCTTCTGCCAGGCGTTCACAGCAGACCTTCACTATGCGTTTGGGTCTGCCAGGTCTACGAGGCATCTTCCCCTGCCATCTGATCAAACTCACCACCAGGTGGTGATCAGTTGACAGCTCCGCCCCTCTCTTCACTTGGGTGTCCAAAACATACAGTCGCAGGTCAGATGATACGACTACAAAGTCTATCATCGACCTGCGACCTAGGCTGCACTGCTACCAAGTGTACCGATGGGCATCCTTATGTTCAAACACGGTGTTCATTATGGCCAAACTGCAGCTTGCACAGAACTCCAATAACGAAACACCACTCGAGTTCAGATCAGGCGGACCGTTTCTCCCAATCACACCCCTCCAGGTCAAGCTGTCATTGCCCACGTGAGCATTGAAGTTCCCCAGCAGGACAATGGAGTCCCCTGATGGAGCACTATCTAGCACTCGTCCCAGGGACTCCATAAAGGGTGGGTACTCTGAACTAATATTTTGCCCATAAGCACAAACAACAGTCAGGACCCATTCCCCGACCCGAAGGCGCAGGGAAGCTACCCTCTCGTCCCCCGGGGTAAACCCCAACACACAGGCAGAGAGTCTTGGGGCTAACAAAAAGCCAACCCCAGCCCTCCGCCTCTCACCCGGAGCAACTCCAGCAAAGGAGAGTGTACAACAAGGACAACAAGGATTTGGGTTCCAGAGCCAATGCTATGTGTCGAGGTGAGTCCAACTATATCTAGCCGGTACCGCTCAACCTCTGCCACAAGCTCCTGCTCCTTCCCCGCCAGCGAGGTGACGTTCCATGTCCCAAAAACCAGTTTTCTTGTCCGGGGATCGGACCGCCAAGGCTCCCGCCTTGGTCTGCCACCCGATCCAGATTGCACCGGACCCTTCATGTTCCTCCTGCGGGTGGTGGGTCCACAGTTGGATGAGCCCATGTATCTGGTTTGGGCTGGGGCCGGCCGGGCACCATGGGTGAAAGCCCGGTCACCAGGCGCTCGCTCACGGGCCCCAACCCCAGGCCTGGCTCCAGAGTGGGACCCCGGTAACCCTCCGGGCCGGGTACTCCGACTGTTTGACTTTACCTCCATGAAAGATCCTGTGAACCGTTCTTTGTCTCACCCTTCACCTAAGACCAATTTGTCATGGGAGACCCTACCAGGGGCACAAAGTGCCCCAGACAACATAGCTCCTAGGATCATTAGGGCACTCAAACTCCTCTACCACGATAAGGAGACGGTTCAAGGAGGAGACAGTATGAAGCAAACAAGTATACTGATTTTTAACTTCTTTGGTGCGTTCTTACTGTGTTTAGTTTCTAATTCCATTTTTGGTTATTTTTAAAACACAGGAAAGGGTTTTCCTTACCTTGCTGCTGACGTACGTTTCGTTTGCGTCAGCAGCAAGGTAAAGAAAAACCTTTCCTGTGTTTTAATAGGAACCAAAAATGGAATTTCATTTTTAACTTCTTTAACATTTCACAAAGTTTCATTAGAATAAAACTCGAAATTTGTTAATAAACCTGGCAAGTTGAGCATATTTTGAGATCGTGTCTCCTCCCAGTGTCTCTGAAAGGGACAGTGTCTCTTCTCTGCTGGACCCGATGTAATCAAACCCCTCAGGCAGGAAGACCATGCAGGCGCCTCTCTCTTTAGCTTCCTGCACCAGCTGCTCACAGACAGAGAAGTTGGCTTCCTTGTCAGGGGTAGATGTCACTTGACACACTGCGGCCAACGGGGCACGTGAGCTGGACATCCTGTGGAAAACAAACTTTTACAAATCCAGTGATCACAAGATGAAGCATTTCAAGTCAGGGATGGTTGCTCCCTGATTCCTGTCTCTGTTATGTTGCATTTTGTACACATTTACTACTCCTCCAGGTGACACAAATCGTGAATATGTGAGAATTTATGCTCTATATTTTTGTTGTTTGCAGAACAAATGCACGTGACAAAATTCTTATAAAATCTAGCAGTGCGTTGTTTGGTTTCAGTACTTATAAACAAACGTACCTGTTTTGCAGCAACGTCGGCAGAGAAGCCAAGTACTTCACAGACGATCTCAAAATGCACCTGGACATTGGTCCCATACAGCGTCACCTGAGGAGTTTAAACCCAGCTGGTGTTATTATAACGTTTGGTTAACCATCGACAATTACATAACGCGAGCAGCCCCTTCTTCTCTGCGATGCAAAAAATGACCAGAAATGTACATATAGCACCCTACTGCCACCTACTGGAGACTTTTTATAACAATATGTGGTAATAACAAAAAACAAAAATAAATAAATAAAATAAAATAAAACTTTAAATGTAATGAAAAGTCCATTGTTTTAGGATGTGGAATAGTTTTTGAGTTGGCAATGTTTTTATACTCCTAAAATTGTTTTTAAAGTATTATAAATGCATCATAATCATTCAAATATAACACAGGTTTATAAATAACTATCAAAAATACCCTTAAACCAGACTAAATAAATATATTATTTTGCAAAGCAAACGTTTGGTCTAGTTCACTAATAAGATATAAACAGCACGTATAAGTCGCATTTCAGTCAACTTTGAAGACATATTGACAATAATATTGTGTGTTTCTCAATTACAACTCTTTTCGTAATCATTCTGATTATTATGGCAAAGTTTTACATTAATAAATTTAAGTTCAGGTGCACTAAACCATGCATTTCCCTCTGGGATTAATAAAGTATTTTTGAATTGAATTGAATTGAATTGAATTGAAAACAAATTCAAACAACACATTTAATGTGTTCAATCTTCTGAAAACCCCAGAGCAAATAAAAATCTATAGGTCTGTATGAGGTTAATCCGCTTTCAGCAGTCCTTTACAGCGTTTGAATTATAAAAATAAAAAAATGTTGATAAATGCATTTAAGTGTATTTTTGTATTAAAAATGTACATGTATTTCTTCATTTGTTTTTAATTATTGATTTTAATTTATGTACGGTGTGCTTCTGATTATTGTCTAACATGAAAACTTTTATTTTTGTTCATTTTTGTTTTGCTTTTGATGTTACCTATAGGCTGCTGTAAAGCACATTAAGTTACCTTTGTATAGGAAATGTGCTATACAAATAAAGCTGTCTTGTCTTGGCGGTGTGCAAATTAATTAATTTAATGATTAATATGTCCTTTGGCTGAAATAAAGAATATTTGAAAGAGAAAAAACACGTCTAAAACTCCACGATGCAGAAACTGCTTTAATAAATAAGCTAGATTCGGAAAATGGGCTGCATGGTACCGCAGTGGTTAGCACTGTTGCCTCGCAGCACGAAGGTTGCAGGTTCGAAACTCGGCTGCGGCCTTTCTGCGTGTTGCGTGTTCTCCCCATTCATGCGTGGGTTTCCTCCGGGTACTCCTGTTTCCCCCACAGATCAAAACATGCTCCATAGGTTATAAATTGTAAGTCACTTTGGATAAAAGCGTCTGCCAAATAAATAAACATAAACATAAAATAAAAAAGCGTGTGCACGAAAAAACAAAAACAATACAAAGTTGATGGAAGTTAATAGAAATTATTCCTTCAAATGCCATTTTATTTTATGTTGAATTAAGTTGTGTCTTGTTTGCGGTTCTGCTTCTGAGTTTTTACATGAAAAAGTAAAAGATGGTTGCAAAGTAATTTAGATGTTTTACAAGCCGCATTTGCACTCAGGCAATCTCATTAGATAGCTGCAGGGTCCTAATTGGCAACACCCTTCCAAGATGGCAGCGAACAGTAGCAGCACGGGTAGCAAGTCCAGCAGCAGCGCCGGCGGAAAACAGTCCGGACTTTCAGCTGAACAGGTACTCTCAATTATATAAAAAGGTTTCATTTGTCGTTACAATTATTTCTGTTGTTGTTTGGCTCAGTTTGGTAAAGCAGAACTAAAAGTATAGCCCCTAGCTAGTCTAAGCTAACATTAGCATTCCTGTCGCGATCATCTGGCTCAAAACCCAAATTTGGACATCGGGAACCGTTAGGAGTCTAATAAGGACATTATGAGAGTTTACATCAAACTCTTACTTCTAACAATTTTTACGTTAGTCTATGTATTTACGGTTTTGAAATAATGTGTTTGGTTTGGTGTGACTAAGCATAAAGCTATTTTTGTCCACCTAACCCTAATAAATTATTACTCAGACCATATTAAACAAATCACTGCTGTAATGTCTGTAATACAGTGCACTGTAGTCCGTAATATATCCTTTAACAACAATAATGGCAACATTAGAGTCGAGCAATACCTTCAAATATGTGTCAAAACCTTTATTGATCAGGTTTTACAAAAATAATAATAAAATGTAAATATTGCCATATTGTATCATAACCTTTTTGTTATTTTCTTACATATAAAGTCTATGACTCTGCGTAAATGGTGATTAAAACCATCAAATAAACAAAGTTTATGTCCACTACTTCTAAAAAGTTGTAGATTAAATCTGATAATAAAATTAAACCTTTACCATTAATGAGTTGCTGCATTATGTACATTTATTTAATAATCTTTTAAACAAAATTGTAATATGCTAATTACCAGTTATGACTTTAAGAGTTTGGTTTCAGTAGACAACTAAGGAGTAGCAACATCTGTTTTTTATTTATTTATTATACTTAATAAAAAAATGATCAAATTCCATTTGTTTTCAGGTGGTAGCAACATTTCAGAGGATGCGTCAGGAGCAGCGTAGTATGGCTTCGAAAGCAGCTGAGCTGGAGATGGATGTCAACGAGCACAGGTTGGTGGAGCATCATCTACATTTATGTTCTAGACACAAATGTTTCACAAGATTTTGTAGGGGAAACAATCCAAAAGACAGACCGTTTAATACCTTTGCTATTTCTTTTCATATTTAGTTTAGTAATTGAGACCCTAAAGGAAGTGGATCCTTCCAGGAAATGCTTTCGTCTGGTTGGAGGAGTGTTGGTGGAAAGGACAGTAAAAGAAGTTCTACCAGCCTTAGAAAACAACAAAGAAAAGGTAATGTTATTTATTTCGGTCACAGGAATGATCAGGAGAATAAACTGAGACATTTTAAATCACTTATTTAACACCAAAATAACAATAAGTGTACATCGAGTTAATCTACATAATTTCACAAGAAAGAGTTTTGTTTATAGGTTTTGAAGTCAAAAATAAACGTTTAGGTGTCAACTGCAGGATGTTTCGTTTGTCTGATTTCTCATCCATCTTCCTCTGTTCTAATAGATTTCCAAAATAATCGAGACCATCAACACACAGATGCAGGCAAAAGGACAGGAGCTCACAGAGTACAGAGAACGTTACAATATCCGGCTGGTTGGAGAGGGTGAAGGAGAGGCGCAGGGCCAGTCGGCAGCAAACTCGCAAGACAATGAAGGAGGAGGATCCAAAAGTGGAGCAGGAGTTCTGGTCTCATAATGCTTTGAGGATGGACAGGGACAGCAGTGCCCTGTTATTTCTGCAGCACTGAAGAAGAAATGAAAACTAGCTCAAGTCAAGGAATTTAGGTGGAAAACTGAACTTTTCATAATGTTCCTTTTAGTTTTCTTGTTTAACTGTAATTTCCTGGAAGTTGTAATAATCATGGTCATCTGCTTCTCTGTTCAGTTGTTTATGTCCTCATTAAGGTCATTTGCCTTGCAGATGTTTTTTAAAATGCTGTCATACATTCAGCAAATAAATTAAAATGCCATAAAAAGGATTTTGAAGTTGCTGACATAAGTAAAAACATTTATCTTTCTCATCTAGCATATAAATCCTGTTGCACTGGGATGAAATTTTTAAAGACATTAAAAAAAAGTTAATGTCAGAATTAGATCCTTTTGCATTGTCATTAAGCATACACAATCGAAATTTATTGGTATGTCAGCTTTGAAAACGCACAAAGCTTTAAAAATGATGTACATTTTTGCGAAAAGGATGTAAAGGACTGAAAAACAACAAATAATTAAACGTGACTCATGAACAGGAGCCAGTACACAAAAGGAAAAATGGAGAAAAGGAAGAGGTTTCTCATGCTCACCAGATTGTCATTGCGGCAGAGCCTGCCTCAACTCGACAGTACAGTGAGCTCTCACTCGGTTTTTACACTGCACACACTTCCAAAGCTTTACGGAAATAGTGCTTATGAACGCTTTCAAAGTAAAAGCCAGTCTCTGAAACGTGTTTTCAGACTTATTTCAAACGAACCATTCTAGAAAAAAAAATTTGAATCCAAAAGTGATCAACTAAAATTTTTATCACCATTTTAACTGTTTTTTCAAAACAAAGGCATATTGAAATTTGTTAAAATGTCTAAAAAAACGAACAGGAGAAGCCCAAACATGGGTTTATTTAAATGAAAGACATTAAAATGTTCTTACTTTTCGTTTAGTTAATTTTTTGTTATCTTGTAGAGTAACATATAAACGGACCATATTAAATGTTACACATGACCACAGCACATTATAACAATATCACAAAAAAATAATAAAAAAACAGATTCTGTAGCCAAAGGTTAATTAGCAAACCCAGTTGGCTGGATTTTCCAATACTGCAAAGATAAAGTGAATCAGTAACGAATCAATAACTGGATAAACACTCAAACGATGTTGTTAGGACAATCAAGATGATTTATGTTCATAAAAAAAAGTTGCCAAAGTACATGCGTAGGCCTATATTGTGGTAATAGCGGAAAGCTACCCTGGCTAGCCAGAATTAATAAATATATTATTGCAAGGCAAGAATTTGGGTTCACTAGGCTAGCGGAAAGCAGCAATCATAGCAAGCTAGCTAAACGACTTTAGATTTCATCACATGACAGCCCAAAAAACTAAGGTCTCCATAAAACGACTAACAGCGCTGTACAGCTTTGAAAACCTATTTCAAAAACTATATTTTAATATTAAAACAAGTCTAAAAGGTACTTATGTGTAGTTACAGAACCTAAGCTGTGTAAGCATGGTTGAGACTCGGAGGGAGACTATCCAGCTTTTTGACTGGCGCCCAAAAACTGATTGGTCCAATGCTTGCACCCAAAAGTCTGGTTCTCAAAAGTTGGAACAAATATGAACATTTGATTGGTTAAACCCTGCACGGAAATGGAACATTGAAACTGAGAGATTTCGCTCATCCCTTCAACCTGACCTCAGATTTGTCCATGCACATTTGATTATGGCGTGCTCGTAGCCTTGTGAGCTAGACCAAATAATTGCTTTGCAAAATTTAAATAATATATTTATTTAGTCTGGCTTGACAGCTAGTGTGCTTGTGCAGGCAAGCGTCCCTCTCTCCTTGCCGGAGTAAGTCTTCAGGTAGGTGTTTTGAGTTTTTATGTGTGTTTTTGTTTTGACTAAACGTTGCAGATTGGTAATTGAGAGGTGAGAAACAGATAAGTGACCATTACCAGTATTGACAAGATAAAACCTTGTTCCCTCACTTGTTCCGGTTGAGTTGCAATTGTTTATGGTTCCTCCGTACTTCACGAAAATTGCTGGCTGTTTTAATTATTTGGTCAAACTGAAGTATTTCTTTTAATTACTGTATCAAATTTGTGAAATTGGCAAACATGATCACATTTACAGTTTTTCTCAATTGCTAAAGCACAATTCCTGAAACCTTGCTCCCTTTTCTCAAAACATCAAACACAAAACCTCAGCTTCAAGCACGATTTACACAACCTCTCATTCCTCTTGCAAAATCAAACTTTCGCCTCAAAACGGTTTTAGCTGTGCTCAAAATCAAACACTACTCTCGAATCGCAAACAAATTACTCAAAATTACATATACCAACAAGCAGTCAGTAAACAGTAAACCAAAAAACAGAAAGCACAATGTTCAGGGCCATACAATGTGTTTATTGTACCATAAACAGCCTGCAGTCCATTGTGCTACAGTGTACAATGACAAGTGAAAAAAAAAATACATAAAATGAAAAACATAGAATGACTAAACATGTTATCAATGGACCTCTTCTTGTCTGTGGGCTGGGTCAGGCCACAGCACATCATCAACATCACATGCAATATTTTCCCTCCTGAGGCTCAAATTGGGTTGCTCTCGTAAGTCCTGCTTCCCTCATTGTCAGCCCATGGGCAACAACATGGTCTATGATTGTTGCTCAAATTTAATCCATCCATCCATTTTCATCCGCTTATACGAAGTCGGGTCGCAGGGGCAGTAGCCTAAGGCGAGAGGCCCAGACTTCCCTCTCCCCAGCCACTTGGGCCAGCTCCTCCGGGGGAATCCCAAGGCGTTCCCTGGCCAGGTGAGAGACATAGTCCCTCCACCATGTCCTGGGTCTACCTTTAGGCCTCCTCCCAGTTGGACGTGCCCGGAAAACCTCACCAGGGAGGCGTCCAGGAGGCATTCTGACCAGATGCCCGAGCTACCTCAACTGGCTCCTCTCGATGTGGAGGAGCAGCGGGTCTACTCTGAGCCCCTCCCGATAGAGCCAATTTCTCAACCTATCTCTAAGGGAGAGCCCAGCCACTCTTCGGAGAAAACTCATTTCGGCCGCTTGTATCCGCGATCTCGTTCTTTTGGTCACTACCCAAAGCTCATGACCATAGGTAAGGGAAGGAACGCAGATCAACCGGTAAATCAAGAGCTTCGCCTTCTGACTCAGCTCTCTCTTCATCACGGCAGACCGGTACAACGCCCGCATCACTGCAGATGCAGCACCAATCCGCCTATCGATCTCACGCTCCAGTTTTCCCTCACCCGTGAACAAGACCCCGAGATACTTAAACTCCTCCACTTGGGGCAGGACCTCATCCCTGACCCGGAGAAGGCATTCTACCCTTTTCCAAATCAAGACCATGGTCTCAGATTTTGATGAGCTGATTCTCATCCCAGCTGCTTCACACTCGGCTCTGAACCGTTCCAGCGAAAGCTGAAGATCACATACTGATGAAGCCAACAGGACCACATCATCTGCAAAACGTAGAGACCTGATCCTCAGACCACCAAAACGGATGCCCTCCACACCTTGGCTGTGCCTAGAAATCCTGTCCATAAAGGTTATGAACAGAATCGGTGACAAAGGGCAGCCTTGGCGGAGTCCAGCTCTCACTGGGAACGAGCCCGACTTACTGCTGGCAATGCGGACCAAGCTCTAACACCGGTCATACAGGGACCTAACAGCCCGTATCAGAGGGCCTGGTACCCCATACTCCCGGAGTACCCCCACAGGGCCCCCCGAGGGACGCAGTCAAATGCCTTCTCCAAATCCACTAAACACATGTAGACTGGTTGGGCAAATTCCCACGCACCCTCCAGCATCCCCCTAAGGGTATAGAGCTGGTCCAGTGTTCCACGACCAGGACGAAAACCGCATTGCTCCTTCTGAATCTTAGGTTCAACAATCCGACAGACCCTCCTCTCCAGAACCCCTGAATAGACCTTACCATGAAGGCTCAGGAGTGTGATCCCCCTGTAGTTGGAACACATCCTGCAGTCCCCCTTTTTAAATAAGGAGACCACCACCCCGGTCTGCCAGTCCAGTGTTGCTCCTTGTCCTCTCACATAAATTCTTCATTCAATTCAATTCCTTCAACAACCTGTTTGCTCTCTGAACTTGCTTACATTGGTTGTCACATCATTTGAAACAAGTGAAATCTATTTTGACTGATTGTGTTCAATCAATGACATTTGTGCTCTTGTTATGGGTAAATGTGTGCCACTTGTGTTTACCATTATGGATGACATGTACATTAGAGTGCAGAATGTGTTTTAAGAATGAGAATGTGTTTAGAGTTTTGCTAAACCGTGTGAAATGGTTTAAGGTTTTGACAACAGGCTCAACAGTTAGCTTAATGAGTTCAAGCAACTGGGAACTTTCTTCAGTCAATGGATTTTAGTGTTATAGCAATTGAGAAAAACTGTAATTGCTGTTCTGCATGTGTTTGTTTCTCCTCCAGGCATCAGACATTCAGACAGTGATGCCTGGTGTCAGGTTGTTGCCATTACAGTTAATTTAATATTAAATGAAATGAGGTTTCATTTAATTCCCTCCAGTTTTAATGGTTTTATACCACACACACACACACACACACACACACACACACACACACACACACACACACACACACACACACACACACACACACACACACACACACACACACACGCAAGCACACACACGCACGTTTATTCATCAGGTAGTCCAGACAGGACAAGGTACATCGAAAGTTAAGTGAATCACGACCTGTTTGGCAGTTTATCTAACTCAGGAGTGGAGCAGTAAAGCTTATAAACACTCATCAGAAAGCAGGCAGTGTCCAGATCTTGTAAAGGTTAGGATGGACACCCTGATCATGTTCTGTCTGTGCATTTCAGATGCCGTTCTTCCAAGGTAATCTGTTCGAGGAGGGGCAGCAAGTCACCTTATGTTCTCATGCAGTCCACCCTGCAGTCTGACATGTTCATACAGTGCTTAGGTGTTTTTAAAATGAATTTTAACCTCATCAGCAACACCATAAGTAAGGGGGTGTTTGTCCAGAGGCCCTATAAATACATCTGAGACACTCACTGGGCATCGTGTTAGCTCGCTAACAGATATACTAAAATTTGAATGATAAAGAGGAGATTAGCATGGTCCCCTGTCAAAGTATGGGTAAAATCGAATGTCGACGAGGATGGGATTCGAACCCACGCGTGCAGAGCACAATGGATTAGCAGTCCATCGCCTTAACCACTCGGCCACCTCGTCTGAATTACACTGTCTTCTCCAAAAATTTTATTTATCAGTGACAAAAAGCGAGCTAGTACGTCTCAAGACGTTTTTTGGGACAGCTTCAAAATGAGTGCTTGATTTTTAAGGGTACTTAATTTATTTTGTTGTGGCAACAAGAAATATGCTCACGTTAGTAACACCAACAGCTAAAGAAAACCTACGAGAGCGGCGCCTCTCATCCTGACACTACGGCTTACACATCGCCATGCGCCGCTGTCGCGGCAGAGGAAGAGCTACGCTACCATATTGGATGGGCCACTGACGCTCCAAACCCAAAAGAGTGGGCTACTATGCCCGTTTTTTGTGCCGCACAACCGACGCGCTATTGAAAACAGCTCACGTGGGACATTTTTGTTACTTTTCTAGCCTACTTATTGGGATTTTATAATTTATTTGTTTATTTATTTTTGTTTATGTCGTAATTATAATGCCAAGTCGTGGCCTAATTTGGTGAAAAAGCATAATAAAATGTGTTTTCATTTGGGTAAGCGCCTTCCTAAATACACTGGGGACAATAGAGACCCATCCGAGATGGCGGCCCGCTGCTACGCTAGCTCCAAAAGGCATCGCCAGTCTACGTCGCGTCTACGTAAATGATGTCTGCGCCTGTAAGTGTTGATATTTGATAGAGATGATTGAAACGTGCATCATTCCATCGCTTATTCGTGTTCTCTCGAAGCGTAAAAATATCTGAGTTAACGCTTCTTTACGCTAGCAAACCATGAAATCAACAACAACGTTCCCCAGCTATGTGGTCTGTTGCGTTAGCACTGAAGCTTGGATGTAGTTAGCTGGAACACATAGCGGTAACCTGCTGTGGGATTGTTTTTGTTTTTTTACACAGATCGAACCGTTTTTTTAGTTCGTCTGGTATGCATTTCTCCAAGAAATGTTCCGTCTTCAAAGTGGTGCTGAGTGCTCTTTTAATAGTAGCTCTGCTGCAGCTGATATACCTGTCATTTCTGTCAAAATTTCACGGTAAGCAGCAACGGTACCGCTACTCTGAGCTCTTTGGAGGCTCCGCGGCCAAGAAGAATGCCTACCCCGAGAAAAACACGCGAAAAGAGCGTCTGAGATATTCCTTATCCACTGGTGGGATCTTCGACAATAGCGGCCAGTACCGGGTATACAAAAACCTGATCAAAAGTGACTTCACCACTAATCTGATAGCAGGCTCTGACGTCAACGTCCTGACTTTAGCCACACACACCACTATCAACAACCTGCATCACCTGGAATCTCTTTTAGAAAGGTGGCAGAACCCACTCTCCGTGGCTATATTTGCACATGGCGAGGATGTTAAGTTTGCCACAGCTCTGGTCTATGCGCTCAGCTTTTTCTGCCCTCAGATCCAAGCCCTGGTGGACTTTCATCTGGTCTGCCTCTCAGGAGAGATTGCCAGTTTCCCGGAACAGGACCACGAGCACTTTGCCGGGCTTGAGGACTGCGCTTCTGTCTTCTCCAGGCTGGAAACCCACAAGGATAAATACAAAAACTACGCCATCAACGGAAACATCTCCTACCCCAACAACCTCCTCCGTAATGTTGCCCGAGGTGGTACAGAGTCCTCCTATATCCTGGTCCTTGACATTGACATGATGCCAAGTGCTGATCTATACCACCATTTCCAGGCCATGATCATGAAGCGTGAGCCAGCAAGCGACGAGGTATTTGTTTTGCCAGCTTTTGAGATCCGCCATGCCAGAAAGATTCCTGCCAGCAAGGCGGAGTTGGTACAGCTCTACCAGGTGGGAGAAGTGCGGCCGTTTTATGAGGAGCTGTGTCCTCGTTGTCAAGCTCCCACCAACTATTCCCAATGGGTCAACAGTCATGTCAGAGAGATGAGTACCCTGGAAGTTGCCTACACCCTCAACTGGATTGACCCCTGGGAGCCTTTCTACATCGGCCCTCACACTGTGCCCCTCTATGATGAGATCTTCAAGCAGTACGGCTTCAATCGAATAAGCCAGGTTGGTACAATCTGAGATTGACTACCTTCCTGAAAAAACTATAACATGATTCTCAAGTAACTTGTCAACTTTTGTTCTCTTCCTATTTTTCTTCTACATCTATTTCTGCCTTCTCACCCCATTGTCTCGTCTGCCTCCAGGCCTGTGAGCTCCATGTGGCCGGATACAGGTTCTCTGTGCTGAGCTCAGCTTTCGTTGTGCACCGGGGCTTCAAGATCCAGGGGGAGTTCCACTCTAAGAAAGAAGAGGAGAACAAACAGAATCGAGTTCTGTTTCGCAGCTTCAAAGAGGGCCTGAAAACCAAATACCCATCCTCCACCCGGCGATGCTGAAAACAAGACGAGGTTTCTGTTTTTGTAGCTCTTTCTGCCCATCGTTCAAAGTCAGCACAAAATAAACGTCCTAGAGTCTTCTCATTAATCAGAGAAGAATCAGCCGGAGTTTCAATAAATCCAGTTCATTTCAAGTCTGAAACTTTGCAACGTGGAAGTTCAAAGAGGCCTAATTTAGACTGAAAAGACAATTTATAGTGATCACCAAATGCACAAACAGTCGGCTGATTGCATTTGAGAAATATGTTTTAATATTTTTCATTTGTGAAGATGCTAAAACATTAAGTAACGAAACGTTTTTAACACTTCAAGTCAATTAATTAAACATCCCTTTTCTACCTAAGTCACAGGTGACATCGCATCTGCAAAGATTTACTTTAGAAGAAGTCAAACATTTAAAAAACTAAAACTAAAAACCACAATGGTCATTGATGGACACTAATCTGCATGCTTTACATTCAAATTCAGTAGTTCTCAAGTTCTACAGATTCCAGGTATTCACTCATTCATTAGAACCAGTTGTAAAAAGTAGAGAAAAATCCAAAAGATGTAGGAAAGTGGCCTTAAATACGGGAGCGTATCTCCGTCATCGGGATGGAAAAAAAAGGCATCAATATCTCGGAATAACGAGGATGTTGCTTGTTACAATGTTATATAAACCTTGTTTTGACGGGAAACATTCTTGTAGTAACAATATATAAAAGAGGTTTTAAATGAGAAAGGTCGTAACAGTAAAATGGTGATGGTGTGTTGTGTCGTACACCTCTGCTCCACAACAAAAAGGCGGAAAACTAGTGCATAGCTCAACATATTATATTCACTAGCTAGCTATCGTTACTTACAAACAACTTACAGCTTTTCGTGCTGAGAGGTTACACAAACGAAATAGGAGCATAAAAACACCCAAACTTTCCCAACACAAAGAAAACACGTCTAATGCAATATCGGGATATACTTATTTTTTGTATATCATTTTCTTAATGTAAAAAGGTTTTACATTTTTTTTAAATGTGGAAAAAGCACAAAATGGAAATCAAATTTTACTTTGAAAAGTGTAATTTAGCCAGAAAGCGGCAGTATCGCATTTTGTGTGGGAAAGAAAATCAAATATGTTTCTCTGACAAATGAAAGTTTCTTAAAATGAATGAAGAGGCTCCCTCTGAGTCCATCTTCTCCCATCGTTTCTTCTGGATGGGATTCCAACGTCCCGCGAGATGTCTGTGTTTTACCGTTATGAGAAATTAAACAGGTTTTTACGAGAAACATGCTCTTAATAATGTGTTTTAGTATCTCATAATATGTTTTATGATTTTGTGAAAATGCGATTTAGTATCTCATATTAACTGTTTTGGTTTCTCTTAATAACGTGATTCAGTAGCTCCCTATAACATGTTTAATATTTCCTAATAACGCGTTTTAGTATCTCGTAAAAACACGATTCAGTATCTACTAATAAGATGTTTAATATTTCATAATAACGCGCTTTAGTATCTCGTAATAACACGATTCAGTATCTACTAATAAGATGTTTAATATTTCATAATAACGCGCTTTAGTATCTCGTAATAACACGATTCAGTATCTACTAATAACGTGTTTTATATTTCCTAATAACATGTTTGAGTATGTCATAGTAACTGTTTTGCTTTCTCTTAATAATGTGATTCAGTATCTCCTAATAACATGTTTTAGTATTTCATAATAACATGTTTTAGTATGTCATAGTAATTATTTTGGTTTCACTTAATAATGCGATTCAGTATCTCCTAAAAACGTGTTTTTGCATTTCATAATACGTTTCATGATCTCGTGAAAATGCGATTTAGTATCTCATTGTTTCTCTTAATAACACGATTCAGTATCTCCTTATAACATGTTTAATATTTCATAATAACGCATTTTAGTATGTTATAGTAACTGTCTTGCTTTCTCTTAACACATTTCAGTAGCTCCCTATAACATGTTTAATATTTCCTAATAACGCGTTTTAGTATCTCGTAATAACACGATTCAATATCTACTAATAATGTGTTTAATATTTCCCAATAACGCGTTTTAATATGTCATAGTAACTGTTTTGCTTTCTGTTAATAATGCAATTCAGTATTCTCTAATAACGTGTCTAGTATTTCTCAATAACACATTTTAGTATCTCGTAATAACATGTTTCAAGATCTCATAACGCATTTCAGTAGCTCATTAACACAATTTAGTATCTGCTAATAACACGTTTTAGTTTCTCAAAATAACATGTTATAATATTTTATAACAAGAAACATTCTCGTTATTACAAGACACTGGTCTTTTTTTTTCTTTCACTGACGGCAAAATGCTTCCATATTCAAAGACCAAAGATTGGAGTAGGTGATTAATTTTGTCAGATAGGAGTTTAAAATAGTGAAAATAAATAAATGTGTAAGAATTCATTTTTGAAAAAATAGTCTTAATTTAACATAAATGCCTCAAGAACTGTACGGACTAAACAGCAAAGACTTTTATAAAAGCATCTATAGGCCTGATTATATTGTCAGTAATGACCTCTGACCACTTGGTGGTGACTGTCACTTCAGAATTGAGTGCACAGTGACTGAATCCTGTATGGTTTCCTGCATCGTAGCTCGGGGGGTTGATGCTCAGAAGGATGTGACTTTACTCCACACCTCAGCTGTTGGCACATTTCTGATAGCTTCAGCACCTTGTGACTGCTTGTTTGTTGACTCATTAAAACAAGTTGAGATGATGAGAACAAAACTCTCAAGCCTTCCGTACAGATACTAGCTTTGTGCTAATGCTAGCTGTACTGAAACATTGAGAATCAGATGCTTATTGTCTGCTTATGAATCTTTATTGTAGCCAAGGTAAAAACCACAATCAAAAGCAACCTGTGTTATTAAGAGAGTGACTGGAAAATGCTTCTCTTAACACCATAAGTCAATTAAAAGGTAATTATTAGGTCTCAGACGTTTAGCAAACACAGATACAATTGTACAGTATTAAACCATGACAACTCATTTCTCATGTCTGTAAATGCATAAATAAATGTTCCTATTTGACTATGTTTTACAGTTAGATTGTTTCTTTTTTAATGTTTTTCCTTTTCTACTTGTTTTGCCTTTATTTATTTTAACAATGTTTTATTGAAAAAAAAAAGTATTGGCTGTACCTATTTTTGAAAACCCAAGCAAAAAACTGTAGCATGAATCTGTGTTGGATTTTATTATTGTGCTGTTTTTATGTTTACCACTATAAATTAATTTGTGTGACGTTTCAGAAGTTTTTAAAAGTGTAATTTAGTGATGTTTGTCCATTTCAGATATTTTATTTTTGTGCTTTTAGATTAAAATACCTGATTTGTATAGTTTTACCTGCTATTAAATACATTGTACAACTTTTGTAAACAGTGATTCATTTTAGTATTAGTGGTTGTATAAGACCCAGTCATAGCAGCTTCTGAACAACATCCACACTCATTGGAAATCCTTTTAGAGCACTTAGAAACATACATATCCAGTCAGTTTCCTTCAGCTGGGGGATTTGTAAAGCCAACCACATTTCTAGGAGTATTGCTAAAATGGAAGAAGAACCAGGGCATCTACGGGTCAGAGGCTAACACGTAGAGCTACAATGGCAAATATGGAAAGCAAGCTAGCTTAAAACATTTTTTTATGACTCTAACCTTCTAACATAGCTATAAATATGTTGAAGAGATAAAAAAAAAGAAAATTATGTGGTTCTCTCATTTGTCAACAAAACCTCCACCAATACCACATTTCGGAGCAAAAGCAGCTGTTAGAACATCCGGTTGTTGGTCCCACTGAACCGCCGCACCTCCCTGGGTCCTTTACTCTTTACACACTCACGTATTTAGAACCAGTGCACCACTGGTGTGAGAGGATTTCTGCTCAATAATATCAGAGAAGGTGAAACAGCTGGCTGCTACCACTTTAACTTTAGAACAAACGGAAACACTTAACAGGATTGTAAAGTGGTCGGGTCGTCTGCTTGGAAAACCAGTGAAAAGTGTGGCACAGCTGTACAGTGGGCAGGTAGAGAGAATTGCCAAAGCTAATGTTAGGGCCACGGGCCACCCACTGCATGCCCAGTGTACTCTCCTGGCATCTGGATGGAGATTTATAGTGCCAAAGTGCAGGACCAAGAAGTGTGAAATGAGCTTTATTCCTGATGCAGTAACGTTACTCAATAAGAATTGAGTCTGGCGTGGCTATTTTATTTTATTTTAATTCATGTATTGTTTACATTTCTTATTGATGTGTGTGTTTTATGACTGTGTGTGTAACCTGGGCGCTAATTCTCGTGTCACATGGCAAATCAAATTTACCTGCGGGTATTAATAAAGTTACCTTGACCTTGGAGTTACCTTGAACTGACATGCATTTTGGTCCCATGCCATTGAGTGATTTATAAACTAGTAAGAGCACTTTGAAATCTATTCTGTAGTTTACTGGTAACCAGTGTAGGGATCTAAGAACAGGAGTGATGTGCTCCGTTCTCTTAGTTCTTGTTAAGACTCTAGCAGCAGCATTCTGAACAAGCTGCAGTTGCTTCACATCTTCTTTGGGAAGACCAGTTAGGAGACCATTGCAGTAGTCCAACCACCTGGAAATATAGAGAGCATGTAGAGATTAAAGAGTAGCAGTCCTAGAATTGAGCCTTGGGGACCCCACATGTCATGGTGATCAACTTTGATATGTGATCCCCAGTGGAGACAACACAGCCTCTGTCTTTCAGATATGACTGGGACCAGGCAAGGACTGTACCCACCCAATTTGTGAGCCTGTCAAGGAGTATGTTGTGGTCCACTGTATCAAAAGCTGCACTGAGGTCGAGCATCATCAGGACAGATGCTTTACCTGTACTCTTAGCACTCGTTTCCTCTGGCAGTGCGGGTTTCCGGTTCTGGTGGACATGGATCCAGGGAAAGATACCCGAGAGGAGGGGTGAGTGTTCTGTGACTGTGTTTATATTCAAAAATTAGCTTGTTTACAGATGTACTATACCATCTTTAAATAGTAACTAGTGTTCACGTGTGTGTGTGTGTGTGTGTGTGTGTGTGTGTGTGTGTGTGTGTGTGTGTGTGTGTGTGTGTGTGTGTGTGTGTGCGTGCATGGACGAGTGTGTGGGTGAATTATGTCCACTTTGGAAGGTGGGTGCAGGAGGGGAACCATAATTGTCAATTGTTTTATACTTGGGGAGGGGGGCTGGGATGGGAATATGGGATCTATGGGGCCATTTTAATCTGTGAAGCACTTTGAGTTGAATTTTTTTGTATGAAAAGTGCTATATAAATAAAGTTGATTTGATTTGATTTGAACTAAACTGAACTTACATGAGAGTGTGAAAGACTGTTCATGTCTTGGATTGTTTTCAGCCAACTAGGTCCTGTGCAACCTTATGTATAACATTAGCTTTTTCATCGATGTTCAAAGCTCTGACTATTCAGATACGGGCTCATTGTGATCACAATCCAAGCGTGATCACTGATTTAAAATCTTCTAATTTAAAGATGTGGAACGCTGAAAATTTTTTAAAAATCTTATTTCTGATTATCATTCTGAGATTCTCATGCAGGCTGAACATGAAAATAGTCTCCTACACCTATCTCCTGCATTAGCTTCTTCTGATAGAAAATAGACGGTGAAACTCTAGTATTAGAAAATCTTGACAGATCTACATCACACTATCACTGAACATTCATGGACTCACCCATCTTGACTCACGACGGGGAAGGCTGTTGTTTATTTAGTGTTCAGGAAACAGCAGAGCACTTCATTTGCTAGTAGAAGCTAACTGCTAGCATTAGCAACTTCACCACACAGCAGAACTCCTTCAGGCTTGTGTTATTTGTGGTGGTGACAAAAGCGGTCACTGGTAGAGCCGCGTTGCTGTTAGCCAATCAGAGGTATGATTTCCAAATATCAGCAAATGAGACTCCAAACTAGCAACTGAATGGTCCAGTTGCTGGTTTCGTACCGAGCCCTGTTATTGTCTGAGCTTTTTGTACAAATGAGAGAACCACCTCATTCAGTTTTGTGTGTTTTTCATTTATCTCATCAGTTTGTTTTGCAGATTTGCTATTGTAGCATTAAGACCCAGATGCAGAAACCTCTAGTACAGTGGTTCCTAACCTGGGGGTCCCGACCCCCACAAGGGGGCGCCAAAGCCTCTCAGTGGGTCGCCCGGACCTCTCCACTTTAAGGGGTTAAAACTTCATTTATTACTTGTTTATAGCCTACATTTTGCTCACATTTTTTTTCATGAGGGAAAAATTTACTGATATTAAGACAGGAAATAATTAGTACAGAAAAAGTAACACCCTTTTAAGAACATTTTGCTCAGCTCACTGTTTTATTTTCAAGTGTCAAAAGTTCATTAAAGATAGGACTGGTTGATCAATCACAGCCTTTACAGTAAATAATCTAGTATAAACAGTAAATAATCTAGTATAAACAGTAATATACACATTTAAGTACATTTTGCTCAGTGTATTTTTTATGTGTCAAACGTTTATTGAAAGGAATGATTGATTTATCAGTGTTTACAAGAAACAATGTGTTCAGAAAAGTAATACAAACTGTCAAGCACATTATGCTCTGTTTGGTTTTGTTAATGACTTTGTTCTGTACTGGAGTCTACTACTACTGTTATCTATTGAATCAAAGCATATTAAAATGTGCTTGAACAATTTTATCATTTCTTAATAATGTTTGTACTGGAAGAGAGAATGGGAGGGGGTCGTCAAAAATTTTACTGGTAAAAAACAGGGTCCCTTGGGAAAAAGGTTGGGAACCACTGCTCTAGTAGAAAAATCCTATCTGTGGCCCTACCCAAGGCATTCTCCACCCCTTTCCCAAAGACCACTGAAGATACCAGCTCCTGGTAACCCTAAACAAGATCAAGCTTGTATAGAAAATGGATGGACATTGGTTCAGAAACCCAAATATCTGCTGTAGTGTCATCTGCTGAGCACCTGACATGACTTACATTAACCTGTGGTGTAACACAGCTCAAGATTGAGGTTTAAAGGCATCCCTGCATCAGTTCAACGAGCGATTATAAGGTGACTGGGGGCCAGCATCCAATTAAAAACTCCTACTTAGTAATCACAATCTGAATTAAAAGTGGACTTTAAGAAATTCTCAGTAAAGCCTCGGTTTGATTAGGACAAAAATACTTCTGAAACACCAGTTCAACATTTAAGCTACACGAACAATCAAACAAGATGCAAAACACCAGTCCTGTACGTGTTGGTGCAGCTTGATCGGTGAGCCAGCCATCTGCTGGTATAAAACGAAACACGTGTGACATTCAGCACTTGACAACTATCTGAGGCGCTGTGGCATTTTGTGGTTAAGCTTGCATTATTGGGTTAGTTAATGAGGCATCGGCACACGAGAGCTAGCATCACGCAACCCTGTGCTAGATCGACTCCACTAAGAACATCATCGTCACTCCTAAATATAATTGATTTAGTCCCTCCTCTTGAAGAAAACCTGACTTTCAGCAATAAGGAGAATAGCCTTAAATGATTTTCACATTTTGTTATCTAGGTTTCTGTTCCTTGAATTTAGTCACCGAACATTAAAAAAACTTTTGTCAATTAATTTTTTTAGCCCAAATGACCTAATAAATGGTTGCCCCCTCTACCAGTCCCCTTACTCAGCGGGGTAATAATGTGGCAGAAGGTGCATACATGTTAAGTAGGGGTGGTGGATCAGGAGAGGCAGGTTTGGTGAGGTAAAGTGGGGTTTATCTCAACAGCTTTGGGGAGTGAAGGCTTATCTGGGTCAGAGATCTTTGTGACATACGCAATTAGGGTTGCCATCTCTTGTGTATGCTAGCAGGAGGGCGGCCTCCCGCCACTGAGATTAGCCAACATGAGGCCAAGAGAGCTTCTGGACGGAGGAGGGAACCAGCTGGAGTGCGCGATGAGCAGGCAGCGAGGTGGGGGCGTTCAAGGGTGTGAGCAGAGAGAGGGAGAGAGAGAAACAAGGCTTGTTCTAAAAGGTTCAATGAATGGGTGAAAGAGAAAGAATCGATGACCCATAATGATGGAAGGAATTTGCGAAATTAATCTACTAATGTGGGGATTTTCTCATCAAAGCATGCTCATTAAGACTATTAAAAGATGTAGCCAACAGAAGACGTTTATATCACTTAACATCAGGTGTCTTCTCTTGAGCTACTCGACTGGAAGTATTCACAACAGATTTTTGGCTCAGAAAAGCAGGAGTCACCAGAAAGTCTGGTTTTAGGTTGTCAGTCTAAATGAGAGCTGCCAATGTCACAAATAGATGTCCCAAACCCATCAGAGAAAATGCAGCGACATTTAAATTTATTCCAAATCACCATTCCTGCTAGCATACAAAACCTA